GTGGACAAAATGGGACTCATGTTGTGGCCACATCGTTCCAGAGACCTGGCCCATCTACATCCCAGATCAAGCACTTGGCAGGTGGTCCATGTTCCGAGCTGTCAGCGCAAGACTCTGACGAGATGAGAGGAGGTGGACTGATGAGGATTGGTTTGTTGCACAAACTCACTCAAGATGGACTCTGTTTCCCAAATGTCAGACTGCTAATTGTAAAGATGAAACTTTCATATTATCATCTGGTTGCTGCCGTTTACATTCACCCCAGATGCAAATTCAAAAAACTAATAACAATGGGTCCTTTCCATTTGTCTGTTCCAGTGAGCCTGGAACAGGCACAGCTTATAGAATAGAATTAGTTATTATTAACAGTATGTCCCCTGTGAGAAACATCTATAATCTATTCATCTCGGTTTCTACTTTACTCCGCTCCTTTCTGACCAACCACTCTTTTCACTTCTGTTTTACACATCACATTTCTCCTGTATTTCACGCTTATTGGACTATTCTCTCCTGTATTGTGCACAGCTGTTCACTTCTCTTCCTTGAATGTACTCTGTTTATATTGCTTATTGAGATACAGGACATGTGATCAGTCTGCTGAGTGAATTTGTGGTCCTGTTGTTCGCCCCAGGACAGGAAAAAAACAGCATCATGATTAGCTGGAGCGCCCGCCCTGCTCTCCGGTGTCTGCTGCATCTTAAAGCAAAATTATTAGGCTCACTGCTACAAAATATGCACATTCAGTGTTTTTAATATTTGTTACACTGTTTAGTGGCTTATCATATGCTCCATTATTGGACTTGAGTCGCTTTCTCCTTTTCCACTATATTTAGGTCCAGCAATAACTGCCTGTTGTCATGTGTTTCAGTAACTAACAGATGGAAACAAGCAGAGAAAGTGTTTTTTGCCTTTTGACCATGGATAGTCTGTATACTAAGTACACTCAAGTACAAAATCTAATAATCACTTCAATTCTGGTTTGCTGCTTCTCAATCTAATTAAGGGTTTGGGACTTGGGATTGGAAATCTTTTCACCTTTGACCTTCCTTCAGAGTAACTGGATCATTCTAAGAGTAATTTGGCCCAGACAACAACTACGGTTGAGCCGATAGACGATGCCATTGTCCATTGGTACCTAAACCTAACCAAGTACTTTTAGTGCCTAAACCTAACCAAACTGCATCTGGTTCACAACGTCAACAAAGCCTCTGACGCATTTGGGTCACAGAATCTGATAGGTCACACATTTTCATCAGTGAGAGTTGTGTGGCAGATGTGAAGTTGGTGATAATAATAATAATAATAATCCTTATTTGTAGAGCACTTTTCAAAAACAAGTTACAAAGTGCTTTAACAAGTGTAAAGAATAATACAAAAAAAGATAAGAGCATGAAAATTTAATATAAAATTAGTAAAATACAATAAAATAAAAGAGATAAAATAAAGTCAAATAAGATCGGGAAAAGCTCTCCTATAAAAGTATGTTTTAAGAAGGGACTTAAAAGAGTTCACTGACTCAGCCGACCTGATTTCCTCGGGCAGGCTGTTCCAGAGCCTCGGGGCCCTGACAGCAAACGCTCTGTCCCCTTTAGTTTTCAGTCGAGACTCTGGAACAGACAACAGACCTCTGCCCGAGGATCTCAAGGTACGTGCTGGTGCGTATGGGACTAAAAGGTCAGAAATATAACAAGGCGAGAGGCCATGAAGAGCTTTAAAAGTGATCAATAGAATTTTAAAGTCAATTCTAAAACATACTGGGAGCCAGTGTAATGAAGCTAAAATAGGAGTAATGTGGTCATATTTCTTTGTTCTGGTTAAAAGCCTGGCAGCTGAGTTCTTGACAGTCTGGAGTCGATCAATAGATTTTTGGGTTAAACAGGTGAAAAGGCTGTTGCAATAATCCAGGCGTGATGAGATGAAGGCGTGTAAAATGGTCTCGGTGTCCTTAAAAGATAACATAGATCGAATTTTAGCTATATTTCTAAGTTGATAAAAACATGATTGAACAAGCTTTGTGGTGTGCTGCTCGAAATTTAAATTACTATCAAACCAAACACCAAGGTTCTTTGCCACAGGCTTAATGTGATTTACTAGGGAACCAGCAGATGGCAGTATTTGATTTGCCATCTGCTGAGACCCGATGACCAGGATTTCTGTTTTGTCTGAGTTCAGCTGGTGGAAATTATTTGACATCCATTTTTTAACTTCACAAAGGCAGTTAAGTGAACTCAGCATTCCAGGGTCTGTGGATCTGACGGGCAAGTATATTTGTGTGTCATCAGCATAAATATGAAAAGAAATGCCATGTTTATGGATAATATGTCCAAGGGGAAGCAGATACAAGGAAAACAAAATGGGTCCTAAGACCGACCCCTGAGGCACACCATATTTAACTGGACAGAATGAAGAGACATAGTTGTTTACAGACACGCAAAACTTCCTATTTGACAGGTAGGATGAAAACCATTCTAGAGCAGTACCAGAGATCCCCACCCAGTGCCTCAGTCTGTCTAACATGATGTTGTGATCAGTGGTGTCAAAAGCAGCGCTAAGGTCCAGGAGTACAAGGACTGAGCACATACCTTCATCAGCAGACATTAAAAGGTCATTGGTGACTTTAAGCAGGGAAGTCTCAGTGCTGTGGTACTTCCTAAAACCAGACTGAAACTTTTCAAATAATTTGTTATTTTCCAGCACAGTGACCAGCTGTTTGGACACAATTCTTTCTAGAATCTTTGCAATAAGGCAGTTTTGAAATTGGTCTAAAATTATGTGGGAGGGAGGGATCTAAACCAGGTTTCTTTGAGGTTGATAGTGACGTCCTGCTTTGTGGCCTCATCTATGCTACATTCACTACCAACAGGAAATGGTTTACATACTATACCGTCTACAACGTCAGTGAAAACCTGGCCATAGTTTAAATACTGACAATGTAGATAATTCTACCATATTCATTTAATTCTTTAAGAAGAAGAAAACTCTCCAGATGGAACTTGTTGTTCATGAGATTTCAGCACAGACTAAAATCTCTTAATTTTCATTCTATTTAGTCTCCGTCTAGTTCAGCAGCCTGCTGCATTTCCTGTTTTTGTAATTTGCTGCATGTTTGTTTATATCTTTTGTAGTCCTGTCAGGGCTGTTTACATTCGGGAAAGGTGAAATTAATCAAAATACTCCACGTTACAATGCCGCTATCATGCACAAACACACACGTCTCTGTCCTCTGCTATGAATAGACAGACGGGAGTTTTACACTTCTAATATGTCACATGCCTAACTCGTTAAACACAGATAAAGAGAGGATAGGAGAGGTGGGGGTATGAGTGCAATAAATCTTGTGATGATCTGCATTTTTGGCTTTTTGCTCTGGATGCCCTTCCTGGTGCAACCCTCCCCATTTATCCAGGCTTGGGACTGGCAGTTAGGAATGCACTGGCTTGTGCACCTAGTGGCTGCAGAGCAACCCGGGGTTCAGTGTCTTGCCCAAGGACACAAGATGAATTATTTCAGCTGTAAATCGTAAAGTGGCGTTTTAGGTTGGTAAGTACTGAGAGAATACATTAACAGTGCATTTTAGGTCTTCTCATAAAGTTTTTTCTTTTCTTTTGGTGCCTCAAAGTTTGGTCAAGAGCAAGATAACAACAGGGGGGTTTGCATCCTAGAAACAAACACGCTCATATAATTTTTATTTTTCTAAATAACGTCAATATTTTCACCAATACGGATGCATGTCATAAATCATGAAAGAGGAAATGCCTGATACGTGAGCAGGAGGAAGAGACTGTTATCTCCACACATAAAATTTCACATCAAAACTTTCAGTCACATCCAGTGATCCTATCACTGTGTTTAGACTTCCAGCTGAGGTCACCACACATTCAAAAAGTGTCCAGTGAAATGAAATGTTGTGAACCGCACCCTGGATGAAAATTAAAAACACCAAACATCAAAGAAACCTACACATTTATATGTAAATGTTGTTTAATTTATTGGGCAGCCACAGCATAGGATGGCATCTCTGCACTAGCAAATGAGTGTGTTATATGTTGTGTCTGGTTGAATGAGAAGAGAAAGTTAAAGGAGAGGACTGAATGAAAAACAGACATCACATTAGTTTCCCACAGGATATGGTTAACGAATTCTGTATTTTTTTCCATTGTCAACAAATCAAATGACAAAAAACAAAACCAACGATACAATACTATGAGAACCTTGCTTGTTGCTCTCAGTCCCAGGACCATCAGTTCCTACCTAAAACATAAGTGTTTTTAAATGGCTCAACATGTCATCCATTGCGAAGATGAGCCTCAACAAAGGAGCTCTATGGTACAGTGGAGTGGAAGAAGCCATCTAATTCTGACTATACACAAATACTTGTTGGTAGAATAAATCCATTGTTGGTTTTGGTTTGGTCTTTTTCTCTGTAGAGCTACTGTTTTAGAAGGTTTTAGCAGAAAACAACTGCCGTGAGCCTACATACCATCACTACTATCATGAGACTGAGCATGACAGACAATTTATGACCAGCTTTTGTCCCCCCAGAAACCAAGCTGCCTGGATGATGCCGATGAGTTGCAACACACCACCGTAACAGTTGAATGGTAAACGGCTACATTTATCCAGGGTTATAAGGTTCCTGCAGCTCATTCACCCATTTACACACACTCAGTGTCTTGCGAAAAGACACTCCAGCAGGTGAACAGGAGGAGGTGGGGATCGAACCGCCAACTCTGTGATCCCTGCTCTAACACCAGAGCCACAGCCCCCATGTTGCTTATCGATTTGTAAAAACGGCCACCTATGTACCAATCACATTTCCCTGTTAAAAAGATTTTTTGTTGCTCATTTTTCCCTTACAAATGAACACAAACCCTCCATGTCGCTCCCAGGTCACCCTGCAGCCAGTCACATGCCTACAAAAAAAGTCAGCAAACAGCTCTGAAATGTACTTGCCAAATACTAGCCAAACAAACATCCTGCTGAACGTCTGAGCTCCTTACCTCTCAGTGGCTCCTCAGCTGATTCAACAGTGTGAGATCCTGAGGGTGATACGAGCCGTCCGGAACAGCTGACCAGCAGCCCTGCATCTACACCCACTGAGAGACTGACTGACGGATGGAGTGACTGAGCGGGAGGCTGGGTCGCTGGATTGCTGAATACCATTCAGCTGGAGGCAGCAGAGCAGGAAGCCACTCCCTCACCGACCAGCTGACTCGCTGCCTGGCTGGAGGGATGGATCACTGGTTTAACTTGCTTACTTTCTTGGCGGTCATCTTGCTGACTGAACTGCTGCAGGAGTAACAGCCCAGCGGACCGACTCATTAACTGACCAACTAACCAACTAATTGACTGACAGACCAACTGGCCAACTTACTCAAAAGGCTGACTCACAAAATAATCGGCAAACTGAATAACTGGCTAAATGATCAACTGACTAACTGGCAAACTATTCTCTTACCAACTAAATAACTGACTGACTATCCAAACGGACGACTAACTGATTAACTGACTAAAAGATTTCATGACCAACTATGAAAGTAGACTAGCTTTCCCCTCTTCCTTCTCTGCTATTTTCTGCTTCTCTCAGTCTCTGTGTAATGGGTGGGTGTGGCCAAGCTACCGTAAGCTAGCTATATACAGTCTATGACACACACACACACACACACACACACACACACACCCACCCACCCTTATCAGTTAGTAAGGGCAGAACAGGGTAGCCTCAGGTCATACTGGTGGAGGAAACTATGTGTGTGTGTTTAGTTAGCAACAGTAAAACAGGAAGTTTGTATGAAATGATGCAATACAAGCCCCAGATAAGTGAATAGAGGAAATGCATTCTGTTTATTATCTGTCATCCAAAGCCCAAACACAACTAGTCTACCACAGGTTGCGCAACGGACAGCAACTTCAGAGTGGATTGAGAATATACTAAAACAAATAGGAGATATTAATTAATGTTTACTCAGTGGAGCAGTGGGCGGAGCTGCTGGTTTTCTCACTGTAGTATTCTATGTCAAACTGAGTTTACTTTTCATGAAGACTCCATATTTCTCATCACAGAAAAACAAAAGACTCCTGAATGATTCAACTGCTACAAGACAGTTTCACTAAATAACTGTAATTTGCTACAGGGTTATGTAAGATATAGTCTAATATGTCTCCTAAAGGATACAGTACTCAATCCACCATACACAACATATATTTTCATTTTGCATTTTTTACAATTTGTTTTATATTTACATTAGCCTACTTACAGTTTAAATGAATGTACTACTTGCTTATTTTGTTTCAGATAATTTGTGATTGTGCTTCTGCCAGTTTTAGACTTAGACGTAGATCATAGTTCTTTGGCTCCACACTGATATTTACCACACCCAATGAGAATAATTCAACTTCCAAAGCAGTTCTACCCTGGTAAAATGTAAATGCAAATGTAAATGCTCCGTACTTGTATAGCGCCTTTCTAGTCTTTTCGACCACTCAAAGCGCTTTTACACTACATCTGCATTCACCAGTCAAACACATTCATACACTGAGCCTCAAACGGAAATTTTTGCCAACCCGCTCTACCTCCTGAGCCACAGCCGCCCTGGGGGGGTTTGTTTCAAACTGGAACAAACATTTAAAGAGGCGGTATTATGCTCATTTTCAGGTTCAAAATCCTATTTAGGGTTTGTACCAGAACAGGTTTACATGGTTTAACACCACTTTTTTTTTTTCATACTGCACATTGCTGCAGCTCCTCTTTTCACCCTGTGTTGAAGGCTTCGTTTTAGCTATGAGTGATGCATCTTGCCTCTACATGATTTTTGTTGGGAGTTGCACATGTGCAGTAGTTAAGGACTACTAGCCATCTCCTCGTTGGCTTGGAGGGACCTGTTTGCGTTCCTGTTTTTGCTTCGTTGGCCTCGGATCCGTGCTTGCCCATTTCTCTGTCGGCCAGTTGTTGGACCCCTCTGGATACTGAGGTATATAGTTAGTTTTCGGGATGTGCAGTGTGGGTGCGGGGCAGGGCTGTGCTCCGGTTTGTTCTGGGTTTGTGCCTGGAGTTCTCGGCCCTTGATGGATGGGTGGGTTGTTGGTGGCATGCAGCTGAGCAAGTTGATTTTGCCTCGTTGCTGGTTTGGCTGGTGTTGCATGGCGGCCGGGGGGCGCGCTGGGCATGGGGGATGTCGGCTGGCGCCGGCGGCCTTAGTTTTTTCCGGCAGTTGGGGGGACGGTGGACTTTTATTGGCGGGTGCACGGTGACCTGTGCGGCGCGTTTGCTGCCGGGCTGGGGCTTGCTGCTGGTGTCTCTCTCCGCTGGCTTTCGCTGTCGTGTTGTTCCGTTTGCTCTCTCTCATTTGCCCGACCTCGCACGCGGGATTCGCGGGGGGCTGCTGGGCATGGGTGTCGCCGTGCTCGCGCAGTGTGCGCGTTGGGCTCGTCACTTGTGCATTGGTGTTGATGATTGCGTGGCATTTGGGCATTGTGGTTGTTTGCTGCGCGGCGGTGGGGTGCTGGATGGGGGAGGCCACTGGTCTATGTTGTGTCTGCGACGCGGTCGGTCCGGGCGCTGCTCTTCCTCTTTTGCGTTCCGTCGGCATTACGTTGTCAACTGGCATTTGGGTCGGGGTCTTCTGCGTTTGCATCGCGGTGCATCTGGGAGTCTTTGTTTTTTTTTGATTTGATTTATTCTTTTTCTTTCTTCCACCCCTATTGGCTACTGGGGTTCTTGCCTGCCTGTTACAGTCGTGGCGTCCCACTCTCTCTAACAACTACATTCTTTAACAGGCTTATGCGCACACACATGTACATACACACACATACAGACACATTCACCCACACAGACACAAACAAACTTAGGTTGTCCCTGGTAGAATTATTCCTGATGCCTTTCTTTCAGTTACTTATTTAAATTAATTATTATTCCAGCTCTCGTGGCTGTGTTGTGTTGCTTATTTAGTGTGTGTGACTGTTTCTTGTTTTCATTGTTCTCTTAGTTGTCTTAATATGTCATTAATATGTCAGCTGTTTATTGCTGCTGTTCGGCTGGTTTTCTTTTACTATTATTATTATTTTTATTTTTTTTTGTTTGTGTTTGTTTGTTGTTGTTTTTCTCCTCCCCAAGCCCCCTCTCTGTTCTCTTGCAGGTTTCGTTGCTTTCTGCAATTGGTGTTTCCCACAGCTTTTCCCTGTTGTCCCCACCCTCCATCCCCCTTTCCCCCTTCTCTTGCAGGTGTTGTCCTTTCTCTGTGCTGTCTGTTTGTGCCCCCCCATCCCCGTGTCTGCCCCCCTGTCCGGCCCGGTGACAAATCAATACATAATTAAATAAATAATAAAACAGACAAAGGAGTATTTTAATACTCTCTTGTTAAAGTAAAATCTGTCTGGCACAATATGGTATCCAGGTCATTATACTCTATACCAGGCTGCTGGGCAGGACAGGTTTAAAAAAAAAAAAAAAAAAAAAGGACTACTAGCCAATCAGAAGCAGAAAAGGGCAGGTCAGTGAGAAGCCGGTAAACACGGCTTGGGTTCAGCTGTACATGTTGCCGACCAGCTTAGCAACATAGACTGGAGCAAGAGTTTCAGAGGGGTGAGTTATTAATCTGTAACAAAAGTATCTTTCATCCATAAAGTTTTAACTGAGCTCTGTCTCTACATCACAGTAACAACTTTATGTCCACTGACTGCCTGGAGGGTAGCTAGTGTTTGGAAGGGAGAGGAGAGCTGTGTGCTGCAGCTCAGTGTTTTTCCACTGGTGTTTTTGAGGGCGTGTCGGAGTAGCCGCTTGGCGAGCGTTATATGAGGCGCATTTAGCTTTCATCCCTGTGACGTCACAAGGATGAAAGGAAAGTGTCCGGACAACAATCAAGCTGTTTTCAGGCAGTTCAGAGCAGAGTTTTCTGTGGGAGATGGGAACCTATTACATGCACAAAAAGGTATATAACTCAATAAAGGAGAGGGAAAAGCCTAAAAGCATAATAGCACCTCTTTAAGTCCTGAACTTCTGTCAGTCTGCCCTGAGCAACATCGTAGCAGCTGTGTGTCTTCAGCTGGCCGGTAGCCATCACAGCTTCATAACAAAACGTCAATCATCCAATAATTAATAACAGTGAGCATTATCACTATGCCAAGTAACAAGTAGTGTAAGGGATTACAATTTCCCACACAGTAATTATATTACAGTTATTAATCCAAGTAATGCTGCGTTACTTTGTTGCCAGAATGCAATTTGCTTTTGTCCTAAGTTTGTCTCAGGCAAAGATGCAAAGAACTTTGTTGTCACACTCCAGCTAAACAAAGATTGGATTTCAGAGCAGGACACGGTGGTGGAGAGACGTTAAGTGGACCAAATCTGAAGAAACTTCTCACTGGGTATATTGCAGAGGAGATGTTTTAGAGGATTATAGAAAAATTGCCCACAAAGAGCAATGCTAAGCTGCCACAGAGAAAGCTGACATCAGAACAGATAACAATAAAAGCTTCTCTGAGTCAGCAGTTCCACTTTAGATCGCAACGTTGCCACCATGCCAGCATGTAAAAGAATCAGAGGCAGGCACACATTTGATGTTCTAGCTGCCAAGATAGAACTAATTCATTCATCATATGAACTGCTTGCTAAGTTGGAGCCACTGTGACAAACAGTGCATAAAATTTTTCCAAGGTGTTCAAAATATATCAGCCTGTCAATACAGAGTCTGATTCTGAACTGGAAGAAGACCGTGACGAGACGAAGATGATTTTACAGATTTCACAGAAGCCCTCTCCTTACTGATGGTCAGTTTCCTCTTCCCCTGTGTATGCGTCGCATACAATTAACCTACTTTCCAGGAGTGTTGTTGAGAAATACTTAACTTCCTGTGCAGACACCAAGGCAGCGTATAGGAGTAGCATTACAAAATACACAGCTCCTTTGGCCAAGGCAAGTCAAGTTGCATCACAATAAGTGGAGAAAGTCAACCACAGAAAGCTGCCGGTGCCGTCATCCACAAGTTGGAACTCCTTTTACAAGGCCAGAAAAACATAAATCCCCATGAACGAGCTGAACAACTTGTGCTTTAAACTGGGAAATATGTGCTGAAACGACAAGGAGTGGCAATTCCTGTGGGAAAATAAAAAGTATAAAATCAATAAATCAAATTGTATTTTTCAGGCCATCCATACTCTCACTTCTTGCAGCTGCGAGTTGTTTGAAGTTTAAACCCCGATGGCTTGGAGATAAGGGCAGGAGAGAGCTTGTGAGGGAGATTCTGACCGCAGTCTCGCACAGCTGCTCGTGCAGAGGACCCCTGCCTCTGTGTCCATGACGTCAGCCAGCCATGATGAAATGTTTTTTTTTTATATTTGAGATAGAGCCCGAGGACAGCTTCTCAGCAGAAAAAGATATAATGGATCATTTGAGGTCAGGGGGGTATGAGGTTGAGACTCTCTGTGGAGCGGCTTTTAGTTTAGTCGGCGTGGCGCTCACCTCTTGACTGTCTGATATGAGGTTTCAGAAGCTTCTGCTAATGAGATGCACTCATTGTTTCTTTTCTGAACATTAGGGCCTT